TCCCCGCCGGCGCCTCCCCTGTCCCCATCCCTGTCCCCTTACCCAGCAGGGCCACCCTGTCCCTGTCCTTGTCCCCATCCCTGTCCCCTGAGCCTGTAGTGCCATCCTTGTCCCCTTACCCACCCCCCCCAAATCTTTCTGCCCCCATCCCATACCCAGGGCAACCACCCTTGTCCCCATCCCCACCTCTGGAGGTTTCACCCCTGTCCCTACCATCGGTGGGACAACTCCCTCTGTCCCCCCCCCTTGTCCCCAAGCCCCCCACCATGGCACAAGGCCACGGGGGGAGCGGAGGGGGGTTTGTTTGCCCAACGGGCACAGAGGGCAGCCCAGGCTTCCCGCTCCCGGGAGGGGCCCGACCGCCCTTTACCCCGGGGCAGGGAGGTGGGGAACGGGGACAACACCTCCCCCGTCCCTCCCCTTGGGGCTCTGCTCCACCTTGGGGGGTGTCCTCACCACCACCACCACCACCACCACCACCACCGACGGCTCTCCACGCCGTGGGGGCTGTGTGGGAGAGGAGGAGTCTGGAAATGAGAGGTGATGGCTTGCAGCCACCAAGCAAACAGCTGCAGCAGCTGGAAGGCCTTCTCCCCCCCCCCCCCCCCAGCCATGTCGTTTCGGAAGGTGGTGAGGCAGAGCAAATTCCGGCACGTTTTCGGGCAGCCGGTGAAGACGGAGCAGTGCTACGATGACATCCGCGTGTCCCGTGTCACCTGGGACAGCACCTTCTGCGCCGTCAACCCCGCCTTCCTCGCCATCATCGTGGAGGCCAGCGGCGGCGGCGCCTTCCTCGTCCTCCCCTTGCACAAGGTGACACCAGGGGATGGGTTTTGGAGGGTCTCTGTGCTGCTCGACACCCCCCCACCCACCTTCCTTCTGTTTTTTCCTTCAACTTTGTCCCTTTTTGTCCCCAGACCGGCCGCATCGACAAGGCCTACCCCACCGTGTGCGGCCACACGGGGCCCGTCCTGGACATCGACTGGTGTCCCCACAACGACCACGTCATCGCCAGCGGCTCAGAGGACTGCACCGTCATGGTGAGGTGGTTTTTTTGGGGGGGTTGATTGGGAAAACACCTTCTCTCCCTCCTTTCCTGTCCCCCTTCCCTCTTTTTGGCCACTGTCCCCTTTCTCTTATGTCCATGTCCCCCACCTCAGGTGTGGCAGATCCCCGAGAACGGGCTGAGCCAACCGCTGACGGAGCCGGTGGTGGTGCTGGAGGGTCACTCCAAAAGGGTGGGCATCATCTCCTGGCATCCCACCGCCCGCAACGTCCTGCTCAGCGCAGGTAAAGGGGCTTGAAGAGATGGTAAGGGGTTGGTGGAGGTGGGACGGATGGTTGGGTGACGAGGAGGTGGCCTGAGGTGACGGTTGTGGGCAGGTTGTGACAACGTGGTGCTGATCTGGACCGTGGGGATGGTTGGGGTGGAGGGGATGGATGGTTGGGTGACAAGGAGGTGGTCTGAGGTCACAGTTGTGGGCAGGAACGTGACAACATGGTGCTGATCTGGAATGTGGGGATGGTTGGGGTGGAGGGGACGGACGGTTGGGTGACAAGGAGGTGGCCCGAGGTGACGGTTGTGGGCAGGTTGTGACAACGTGGTGCTGATCTGGACCGTGGGGATGGTTGGGGTGGTGGGGACGGACGGTTGGATGACAAGGAGGTGGCCCAAGGTGACGGTTGTGGGCAGGAACGTGACAACATGGTGCTGATCTGGAACGTGGGGATGGTTGGGGTGGTGGGGACAGACGGTTGGATGGCAAGGAGGTGGCCTGAGGTGACGGTTGTGGGCAGGTTGTGACAACGTGGTGCTGATCTGGACCGTGGGGATGGTTGGGGTGGTGGGGACGGACGGTTGGATGACAAGGAGGTGGCCCAAGGTGACGGTTGTGGGCAGGAACGTGACAACATGGTGCTGATCTGGAACGTGGGGATGGTTGGGGTGGTGGGGACATATGGTTGGGTGACAAGGAGGTGGCCCGAGGTGGCGGTTGTGGGCAGGTTGTGACAACATGGTGCTGATCTGGAATATGGGGATGGTTGGGGTGGTGGGGACGGATGGTTAGATGACAAGGAGGTGGCCTGAGGTGACGGTTGTGGGCAGGTTGTGACAACATGGTGCTGATGTGGAATGTGGGGATGGTTGGGGTGGTGGGGATGGATGGTTGGATGACAAGGAGGTGGTGGTTGTGGGCAGGTTGTGACAACGTGGTGCTGATCTGGAACGTGGGGACGGCGGAGGAGCTGTACCGCCTGGAGGGGCTGCACCCCGACCTCATCTACAGCGTCAGCTGGAGCCGTGATGGCTCCCGCTTCTGCACCGCCTGCAAGGACAAGAGCATCCGCGTCATCGACCCCCGCCGGGGCACCGTGGTGGCCGTGAGTGTCCCCACCACCTCCCCGGTGACCTGTCACCCTGCCTGTGTCCCCCCTGCAAGGCGCCATCCTGCCCCTGGTCACCCCCCTTGGGGGGAATCCTCCCCCAGCCCTGCTCTTCTTGCCTGGTGGTCCACCATGTCCCATGTCCCTTGGGTGCTCCCCACTGTCCTGTGTCCCTTGGGTGTCCCCTGCTGTCCCAATGTCCCTCAGCTGTCCCCTGACTCATCCCCAAGGTGCTGTGACCCCCTCCTTGGGGGGAGTCCGCCCCCAGCCCTGCTCTTCTCACCTGGTGGTCCACCATGTCCCATGTCCCTTGGGTGTCCCCCACTGTCCCATGTCCCTTGGGTGCTCCCCACTCTCCTGTGTCCCTTGGGTGTCCCCCGCTGTCCCAATGTCCCTCAGGTGTCCCCTGACCCATCCCCAGGGTGCTGTGACCCCCTCCTTGAGGGGAATCCTCCCCCAACCCTGCTCTTCTCGCCTGGTGGTCCACCATGTCCCATGTCCCTTGGGTGTCCCCCGCTGTCCCATGTCCCTTGGGTGTCCCTCACTGTCCTGTGTCTTATGGGTGCCCCCCGCTGTCCCAATGTCCCTCGGGTGTCCCCTGCCCCATCCCTGGGGCGTTGTGATAATGCTGTGACCCCCTTCTTGGGGGGAGTCCTCCCCCAGCCCTGCTCTTGTCACCTGGTGGTCCATGCCATCCTGTGTCGCTTGAGTGTCCCCCACTGTCCCAATGTCCCTCGGGTGTCCCCCACCCCATCCCAGGGGTGCTGTGACAGTGCCGTGACACCCCCCCACACACACACACTTTGTCCCCTGGGCAGGAGAAGGAGCGGGCACACGAGGGGGCTCGTCCCATGAGGGCCATCTTCTTGGCCGACGGCAAGATCTTCACCACGGGCTTCAGCCGCATGAGCGAGCGGCAGCTGGCACTGTGGGACACGGTGAGGGGCACCCCAAGGGGGTGTGTGTGGGTCCCACGGGACCACATCGGGGTGCCCCCCACCATGGGCTGACACCCCACCCCACAGGAGAACCTAGAGGAACCCATGGGGCTGCAGGAGCTGGACTCCAGCAACGGGGCTCTGCTGCCCTTCTACGACCCCGACACCAACGTGGTCTACGTCTGTGGCAAGGTATGGTACCCCCCACCTCTGGTGCCACCCCAAATCTCCCCCGACGGGTCCTCCTGCCACCCAGGGGGACCCCTCTCTAACGGCTTGTCCCCAGGGTGACTCCAGCATCCGGTACTTTGAGATCACGGAGGAGCCCCCCTACATCCATTTCCTCAACACCTTCACCAGTAAAGAGCCCCAGCGGGGCATGGGCTGGATGCCCAAACGGGGGCTGGACGTCAGCAAGTGTGAGATCGCCAGGTGGGGACAAGGTGGGGACCCCCCCACCACCATTTACCACCCCCCCTTCATCCCTATGACCCCCCCTTTTCCTTTCCTT